TTGGTCCCCTCCAATAATGTTGGCCCAACTCCAACTTGGCCAACATTATTGGACCCCACCAATAATCTCCCAACCCAACTCCTTGGTTGGGGTCCAATAATGTTCACCTAGGCTAGTTTCCAACTCATCTCCTATGTAAACCCCCCATCCTTTCAATCAATCCATCAACTTCTCTTCTAACTTTTCTCCTCACACGGTGCAGTTGCGCGGGTGTGTCGCGCCACTCACTTCGGAGCCATCAGGGCGCAAGAGTGCGCCAGGAGCGAAGACGCCAGCGTCGATGCAGTTTTTCAGCGTCGCGCGGGAAGGGTGTCCGAGGCGCTGATGCCAGAGGGCATCGTCAGCGCGAAAGCCGGAGGTGCGCATATAGCGCGCGCGCGCTTCTTCAGGGTCTTCGTCAGGTACAGGAGCAGGTTCTGCCGCTACTTCTTCGACTTCTTCTTCTTCTGCCGCGGTAGTCAGCATCAGCGCCAAGAACTCTCTGTCGCGAATGTCAGAGAGTGGGATGTTGGTCCCAGGGATAGTTCCAGGGACTAAGGTAGGTTGGCGTGGCTCAGGGGCAGGTCCGTAGACAGTGCGACGCGGGGTTGACGGCTCGTTGCCCCAGATGATGGTGTCCCAAGGGTCGCGACGCGGGGGAATGTCTGCAGGGGGTGGTGCGAGCGGGATGTGACGCGGGGGACGACCGAGAGGAACGACTGCAGATGTTGCTTCGATTTCTTCGCGAATGTCCTCTATTTCTTCGCGAATGTCCTCTTCCCCCCTTCGTTCTTCGCGGGAAGTGCCCCAGCCGCTGTCTGCGGCGGTAGGTACGGCGCCCCATCCTCCGCTCGCGTTGGCCCAGGTTCCGCCAGTGTCGCCCCAGCCGCCAGTATCACTGGTTCCCCATCCTCCAGCGTTCCCCCACCCCCCTTCATTGGAGGCACTTTCTTCCTCCTCGGCTCCCCAGGCGACGCAAGCGAAGGTCCCGCGGGCTTCCGTGAGACTTTGCTGGCGAAGCTCCTCAGCTTCGCGGCGCGCCAGTTCTTCCTCCTGCTCCACGGTGAGTTTTGCCGTGGGATCACGCCAGTGAGGGTAGACCTTCATGAATTCCTCGAGAGTGTAGGGGCGCGGGACTCCTCGTGAGTCCAGGCTTCCGCGGCGTTGTCCGCGCAGGATGTTGTCGAGCCGCTGGGAGGGAGGTCCAGCGTGGGGACTTTGATCGGTGCCGAACACGCGGTGAGTAGCGACTTCAAGCTCGAGCTGCGACATCCCTTCCTCGGGAGGCGCGGTACGCTCTGCTTCAGCGATGGCGGCGAGTCCGCGGCCGGCGATCGCGCTTGTTGAGGTCGTCGGCGTGTGGCAATCCCTGCATATGCCGTCGGGGTCGGGGTTGTGTAACACCGTTTTGCATGGGTGAGGATGATGCGGCACCCACGGTCTGCCGTCAGGGTGCTTCCAGTCCCTGCGGTGGATGTGCTCGAAGCGCAGTGGCACGAGGTCAATCAGCTCGTGCGAATCGCCGCTGCAGTCGGGGATGTCGAAATCCAGGACGTACACTCCATTTTCGGAGTGCGCTCGTCCGATCTGTCGGCGGGGGAAGTTGCGCGCCTCATAGTGCAGCAGGATATCTCGCGTCGCGCGGTCCGTGCTGAGGTCGACGCCGCAATCCATGAGCTGTGCGGCGGACAGAAGGTTGAAGCGCAGGTTCTGGACGATCAGCACATCGTTAAGCGTGATGTGCGTGCGGCTCCCGCGTGCTTTGAGCACGACGATGCCTTGCGCGCTTGCGCGCAGGCGTGTGTTGTTCGCCACGGTGACGTACGTGACGGCAGGGGTGGGGACGGCGTTGGATATGTAACGCTCGGAGCCCACCATGTGCTGGCCGCAGCAGCTGTCCAGGTACCAGGTGTTGTAGCGCTTGTTGTCGTCACGTGCGAGCAGCGCCAGTCGCGGCGTGACGATGTGCGGAGTGTCGAACTTCAAAAACTGTTCGCGCGAGAGCCAGTCACGTGGCGCCACCCGCATATCAGATACATGCGGGGGACTTTCAAGCAGCGGAACTGGAAGATTCCAGTCTTGGTCGTCGTCGTCGGTGAAATCGTGGCGCGGGCTGAACGGGTTGTTGTTGGTGAACGCGCCAATCGGGTGCGGTGCCGGCTCAGGTGACGGTGAGCGAACGCGGCGACGACGCGACTCGCCTGTCATGGCCATGCTGCTCATGACGTTGCGAACTGGGGCAGTCGATGACGGCTGCTGCTGCTGATGCTGAACCGCGGGGTTCAGGTTGCGCGCGGGAGGGGGCTGATACCCCTGGGCTGGACGCACGTCGCCTCGTGCGTCTTGACGGCCGGACCAGGTGCTCGGATTGGTCTGGCGAGGGCGTGATCGGTTCTTACATCGATCCGCCAAGTGCCCAAAATTTCTGCAGATTTTGCAGTAGAGGCGCCGTGGCTTTCGCTCTTCAGTGTTGTCGGCGTAGAAGGCGAGCCGTTCGCGTTCTCGTCGCGGCGCTGGTCGCTGCTGATCCATATCCCTCTGTTCGACGAGAAGGGCGGCGCAAAGGGCGGCCTCCGAGATGACCCCCTGCTGTCGAAGAAGCGCCTTGCAGGGCCGCCACTCTGGGCCGAGCCCTTGAAGCACAATGTTGACGAAGATTTCCTCGGAAATCGTGCTTCCCATCTTCACGATTTGATCGCGAAGGCTCCGACAGCGGTTGAGGTAGTTGTTGACTTTCTCCCCTGCGGTCATCTTGGTTTCCAGGAGTTCCTGGAGTAGTCGGCTCGAAGAGACGGAGTCCTTGGGCTGGTAGACTCCCGTCAGGTGCCTCCAGGCGTTAAGGGCTGGAGCAGCTGTGGTTTTGTATGAACGAATGTTGAGCTGCTCCGCCGCCGACATATTCCGCAGGAGCACCCCGTACGCCATTAGTGACTCGTTGTAATATCGCGCATTGGCGTCGTCGGTGTCCTCAGCAGGCTCCGCGTAGCTCCCGTCGAAATAGTGGAAGATCTGGGCGTTCTGAAGCAGGAGCTCCAGCTCGAAGCTCCAGGTGTAAAAGTCTCTGCCGTCAAAACAGGTACTTGTCTTTATTTTTGATATGCTGAGGAACCTTG